TGCGCACAAATTTCGAAATAGCTTTAAGCAGTAGCTGCACACCACTTTTAAACAAAAAATCAAATTTCAAACCTCTATCACTTATAGTTGCTGAGATCTAGCTTCCCCCAATAAAAAAAAAATAATAATAATAATAATATTAATCTTAGTAATAACAATAGTCTTTCACCGAAGGTGAAAGCCTAACAAGGGCCGGCCATAACTCCAGAAGATATTAACGGAAGTTATTGAAATTCAATAGGCTTCTTCATCTCACTAATGCAAACAACATATATCAATTTCAAAACAATCAGATGATAAATGTAGTCTGTAGAGTGTTCACAAGAAATCGTGGACGAAGGACGGACGGACGGGGGCGATGGCAATATACGACCACATTTCCATGTGCGCGTATAAAAACGTGCCTACCTTTAGCCGTAATTATTAAGACTATCTATGACATCGGTCTGACATCCCAAAAAATCAATGAGGTGAAGGAATTTGTATAGTATAACTACTCCTGTTATCCGCACCCTCCCACTTATCATTTTGCTCAATCAACACGAATGAAAAAAGTAAAATAAAACCATGTGCCATTTATTCCGGCAAGGTCGTTTGCCTCATTCTGATAATCTACTACTAATTAACCAATCAGTGAGTGGGAATATACGTGACCTAGGTCGTTATGAATAAATTTCATTGTGGGAAGTCAAAACACGGTCTAAACTCGTATGCCGTAAACTAGCGCAGGGAATGAATGAATATATTTTTTATTTAGACTACTGTTTTCGTTGCACTGCATTAATAATTTTATTAGTTACTATCACTAAATAATACGCAAAGTGATCAGACGTAAAAATGGCTAAATATAGAGCATACGGAATGTCAGAATATATTGTAACGAATAGTAAACGGATAGTAAAATGATTCGGATAACCGCTATTTTGTATCCGTTAACGAATATCCGAATAGTAATTTCAACACTAGTAACAACACTACGATAAATACAGTGGTGGCTGGAATGGAAATGCACACGGCTTGTTGCCTGGTGTATTTAATCATTTAAAAAGTTTAAAACAATTTCCATAAAGCCTATGAATAATTTAAAAGAAAATTTGACAAAATCAAATAATTAGGTCGGAATAATATTTCATATATAAATATAATTTGTAGTGTAAATATAGACAGGATATGTGAGAAAGGAATTCCAGGGGGCGTTACCTGTCCTCCGCACACGGTACATGTAAATACAGTGTCATGCACAGGTGAAATTCGTGTTTTGATATTGAATTTATTACTGATATTTTAGAATCTGAATTCTACACTTTAACGGCGAAGTATTCAAGTTAGTATGCAAGTTTGGTACCATGATACGAATCTTCAAGTTGCTGAGCAAAAGCAGATTCATGGACATTTTAGACATTCTGATGTTGAAGAAATAAAAACGTTTCATATTATATTTACATGGAGCAGTGTATGTAAAGACTTAAACAATTTAAGAGTGTTTGTGTACCTACATGTATAGATATATGTGATGTGATTGATCTTTAATAAACAGTGGCAGGTTAGTAACTGAAGCGACATGTATGAAGAAAAGCTACCCATAGCTGGCGACAATGTGATTTTTTACAATCAGGGGCCATAATCCAGGAAGTTAAAGTCCAATATGTGCAGGTATCGAAAGAAACCCAGATCTTTGGATTATAATCATACATTTCAAGTTTCACCAAAATTGGATAACCAGCAGCTGCCAGGCAGGATACGCCTACATTTTGCAAGAGATGGATAGAGAAAAAGCTATTTTTGTACTATCAGGGTAAATATCAAAAGGGACAGATCTTTGGGATATAAATATATGCTTTAAGTTTCATCGAAATCGGATAAAAATTGTGACCTCTAAAAGGTCCACAAACTTCATATTGTATACTTTTACACAATTTGCGTACAAAGAGCGGCCATTTTGTCAGGCAGTTTCATTTCGATTTTCCCGAAATTCGAATTCAACCTTCATTATGGTGGAATGGTGATATATTTAAACGGTTTTTAAAATCAGAAAAAAACAGCGGCTGCTAGGCAGGATACGCCCACATTTTCGAGAGATGGATAGAGAACAAGCTAAGAAGAAAGTGATTTTTCCTACAATCAAGGGATATAATTCAGGAAATTACAATTTGATATACACGAATATCGAAAGGAACCAAGATCTTTGGGTTATAAACTTACATTTCAAGTTTCAACAAAATCGGATAAAAATTGTGACCTCTATAGGGTCCACAACCTTGATATACCATATTTTTTCGCTATTTGAGAACGAACGGCGTCCATTTTGTCTGTCAATTTTGGGCCGATTTTCACGAAATTCGAACTGAGACGTCCTTAGGGTGTAACGGTGATATAATAATACGGTTTTTGAAATGAAATGAAATGGAGTTTAACGTCCTACTGTTCTGCTCCTAACCTGGGCTAATGAAGACGGGCATACCCCATACAGTGTGCTATGAGGGAAATTTTGCCCGGACAGCGGCACTACGGCCTACTCTTATATCGAATTCCAACTGCCAAGGGATCTTATACGTGCACGCCAATGTGTACACGGGACCTCGGTTTTTCGTCCCATCCGAACGACTAGACAGCTTTCCTTGTCAGCCCCTCCGTCCTGCATCACTGACAAGGGAGAACCACGCCAGAAAATCTGGATGAACTTTCTCGGCCAATGCAGGGATCGAACACCCGACCTCCAGGCTAGCGAGCTAGCGTCTTACCCACTTAGCCACGTGATCCCCAATACGGTTTTTTAAATCGGATAAAAAATTATGACCTCTATAGGGTACACAAGCTAAAAACGTGATTTTTTGTACAATCAGAGGCCATAATTCAGGAAGTTACGGTCCGATATGCGAGAATATCGAAAGGAACCGAGATCTTTGGGTTATCAACTTACATTTCAAGTTTCAACAAAATCGGATAAAAATTGTGACCTCTATAGTGTCCACAAGCTAAAAACGTGATTTTTCGTACAAACAGGGGCCATAATCCATGAAGTTTCGATCAGATACATGCCAATATCGAAAGCAGCGAGATATTTTAGAGATAAACCTATATTTCAAGTTTCGTCAAAATCGGATAAGAATTGTGACCTGTAGAGTGTCCACTAACAATTGTGGACGGACGGACGGATGGATGGACAGGGGCGACGGCATAATACATTCACATGAAAATGTGGGCGTATAAAAATGCGATTTTTCATACAATCAGGGGTCATAATCCATGAAGTTACTCTCCGATACATGCCAATATTGAAAGGAACCGAGATCTTAGGGAGATACACCTATATTTTAAGTTTCGTTGAAATTGGATAAAAATTGTGACCTGTAGAGTGACCACAAACAAATTGTGGATGGACGGACGGATGAACAGGGGCGACGGCATAATACGTCCACATGAAAATGTGGACATATAAAAATTGTGACTTCTAGAGTGTCCACAACATTGGTATTACATACTTTTACACTATTTGTGTACAAGGAGTGGCCATTTTGTCTGGCAGTTTCGGTCAGATCTTTATGAAATTTGAATTTAACCTTCATTGATGTGTGACGGTGATACATTTAAAGTTTTTTAAAAATTAAATACAAATTTTTACTTCTAGCTGGTCCTCGAGCTAAAAAAATTTTTAATCAATCAGGGACCATAATCCAGGAATTAACGTTTGGATATGCACAATTATCAAAAGGAACTAAGATCTTTGTGATGTAAGCATAAATTTAAGAGGGTCCATAACCTTGATAAACCATATATTTACAATATTTGCGTACGAGGCGCGGCCATTTTGTCCAGCATTTTTTTGACGGGTCAATTTTTACAAAATTTGACCTCAACCATCATTAGGGAGTAATGGTGATATATTCAAACTTTTCTTTTAAATCGGATAAAAATTATGACCTCTAGAGGGACCACAAGTTTCATCAAAACTAGATCAAAATTGTGTCCTCTAGAGGGTCCATAACCTTGATAAACCATATATTTACACTTTTTGCGTACGAGGGGCGGCCTTTTCCATCAGTTTTGGTCCAATTTTTACAAAATTCGACCTCAACCATCATTAGGGTTTAACAGTGATATATTCAAACGTTTTTTTTAAATTGTGACTTCTAGAGGGACCGCACGTTAAAAACGCGATTATTTGTACAATCAAGGGTCAAAATTCAGGAAGTTACGAACCAAGATCTTTGGGTTATAAACATGTATTTCAACTTTCATCAACATCGGGATCAAAATTGTGAACTCTAGAGGGCCCACAACCTTGATATACCATATTTTTATACTATTTGCGTACGAGGGGCGGTCATTTTGTCTGGCAATTTTGGTCCTATTTTCACGAAATTCGAACTCAACTGACATTACAGTGTAACGGTGATATATTCAAACGTTTTTTTTAAATAGGATAATAATTTTGACCTCCAGAGTGACCACAAGCTAAAAACATGATTTTTCGTACAATCAGGGGCCATAATTCAGGATGGCGCAAATATAAAAAGGGACCAAGATCTTTGGGTTAAAGACATGCATTTCAAGTTTCATCGAAATCATATAAAGATTGTGACCTTTGGAGTGTCCACAAGCTAAAAATGTGATTATTCGTACAATCCGGGGCAATGATCCTTGAAGTTTTGATTCGATACATGCCAATATCCAAATGAACCGAGATCTATGAGATAAACCTATATTTCAAGTTTCATCAAAATCAGATAAGAATTGTGACCTGAAGAGTGTCCACGGACGTCAGGATATGTAAATGTGGGCGTATAAAAATGAATTGATGAAAAGGTCATATATCCATTTCTGTACATTCTACAGATTGGCCGAGAGGAAAAATTATGTGCAAAATGTATTGTCAACTGATGTAAAGACAATATTTCTCATCTGTCATTGTGTGTCAGTTATTTATGCAGTTATTACCACTCACGTTAATGTTTTAATATTAAAACAAAAGAGATTTAGTCTTTTTTTACCATACAAACCTCATCAGTTAAACTTTGACGAGTTGACTGAACTAACTTAGATAAACTTCTTGAATATTCACTCTCTGTAAAATATAACCATTGATCAGAAGTTTTAGTAGCTCTTTGATGTTTTTAAGCTTAAACAATCGGTTGCCATGCAAGATATGCCCACATTTTGCAAGATATAGTTTTAAGTTTCATCAAAATCCGATAAAATTGTGTCCTTTAGAGGGTCCACAAACTTGATATAAGTGATGGTCCCATGATTGGTTTCAAAATCGGTAATTGGCCAATAAGTGGCCTATCGGGAGAAATCAGTATCGACCGATACACAGCCACTTTGCCGATACTGGAGTTGTCGATATCTGTTCAAAGCAACTCGGTAAATACCTTTAAAATATTATCCGAGTTGTGAACAAATCATTATTTTTCTTGACACAGAGTACATCTAAATAGCCGCACACACAGCGACTTATTTCGGTTGCCGTGCTTGTTACTATTTAGATGTAACGGTAATACAAGACTCTCATAGGGTCCGTAAAAAGGAAAGAATAAACAGTACAAAATCCTTACCGGTCTCCGTTATTTTTTTAAATCCTTATTCGCACACTGTTTGAGAGTTCAGCGATTTTTGAGAATACCATTTCTGCGCATGTGAAAAAAGGACAGACATTAAGGTACAACAGTCCACCCGATAAAACTTTTGATTTGAATAGGGAATAAACCAATTGCATGATGATCAAAATCATAGAATTGTAGGACAAAGTCAGTACGTCATGGAGGCCAATGCGTGCTGATATACAATACCTAATTAGGCTATTGAATTTTTTATTTAAATTGTTTCTGGTAAGTAATAAATTTATTATAGGAGTTAAAGTAGCCAAGTCTCTAACTCAATATCATCAAAAATCTTCAACATTGAAAACACGAATTATTTGTCAATTTAAATCAACACTGATGTTGTGATTTTACGGGGAAAAGATGGGCTTCTGATATCCAATAATTAAAACAAAATAAACATTTTACCGTTGGTACATGAATCATGTACCATGGTGCATTTCAGCGCAATTTTTAACAAGGGACTTGTAGAAAGAGGCTAGATATATTCCACAAGTCATGTCAAACGGTGAGTGGAATAACCAGATGCTAGAGATTGCCATTGGATTGAAACTTCTGGTGTATTTCGCCGAACATAACTGATTAGAAATTGCAGTAAAAACAGAAACGATTGAATGTAAATCAGTTTATATACATTCACATTTCACTATTATATACGTTGCGACCCATTTGTGTCAATTTCTAGATCCAAAATATTAGCGATTTAGCTCCTTTAAGAGTGGCTATGAAGACCTGGTTATCCCAAGTGTCAGTGACTAGTTTCGGTCGTAATGAACTCTTCAGGCTGACTGGACTCCCATGGCGGGCGTTTTTATTTATACTATTCCGAAACCGCAGTGCGGTTTCCATGGTTACTAATTGGCGGGGTTATTAACTATCAAATAAACAATAGTTATTTGTCTATCGCGATTCACGATAATAAAACTAATGAAGTGTCAACAATGGCTCATCATTGCATACCATGCTGGTCTTACATTTGGCCTTACTTTGATCACTGTCGCTTATCGTGAAATAGTTCCAAATCTTTGTTTCATCTAGTTCACTGCTGGTATTGTCTGCTCACTATCATAGTGAGTGGAACTTTTGGAAAAGGCGTGAAAATATCACATGGTTTAGCTCGAAATGTTAATCATTAAACTCAGTCAAGACATTCACCTAATCAACATCTACATTAAAGGTCACGACTACCCACGGAGAATGGCGGAAATTACTAATGTTGAAATTTACCCGTTGCAGGTAATATTGACGTTCGGGTTCGTGTTATACTTATGGAAAGGATATGTTGATAAATTACATGCATTTTTTAAAAAAATTATGAACCTTTTCCGGTGACCTTTAAGTTTAAACATTTTACCTCAATTAAAAGAGTTGTTATGTTCCAAAGTCTTGACCAATCAAATTGCTTATCGCTCCTTAGCCTAAGCAGAAAATTCTCACCATCGAACTTAGTCAAGGTAATGATATAATGAATCTACATTTGGAGTTTCATCGCTCTCACTTCATTATAACCAAAGTTATCGTGCCCCAAAGCATCAACCAATCAGATTGCTTATCTCTGCTTACCGTAAGCAGACAATGGTCATCATAGAACTCCATCAAGGCATTCACCTAATGAACGTCTACACCAAGTTTGAACATTCTACCACAATTAAAGGAGAGATATTGTGTTCCAAAGTCTCAACCAATCAAATTGCTTATCGCTCTGCTTACCCTCAGGAGAAAATGTTCATTATCGAACTTAGTCAATGTATTTATGTAATAAAGCTATACACCAAGTGTCCTCACTCTTACTTAATTAAAAGTAAGGTTATCGTGTCCCAAAGCATCAACCAATCAAATTGCTTACCTCTGCTTACCCTAAGCAAAAATTTCTCATCTTCAAACTCCATCAAGGCATTCACCTAATAGACACCTACGCATAGTGTGAACATTCTAACTCAATTAGAATGAGAGTTATAGTGTTCCAAAGTCTTGACCAATCAAATTACTTATCGCTCTGCTTTCCCTGAGCAGAAAATGCTCATTATCGAACTTAGTCAAGTTATTGATGTAATGAAACTATACACCAAGTTTCATCACTCTCACTTAATTAGAACTAAAGTTATTGTCTCCCAAATCATCAACCAATCAAATTACCCCCAAGCAGAAAATGCTCATCTTCGAACTCCATCAAGGCAATGACCTAATAAACACCTACATCAAGCTTGAACATTCTAGCTTACCCTCAGCAGAAAATGTTCATTATCGAACTTAGTCAATGTATTGATGTAATAAAGCTATACTAAAGTTATTGTGTCCCAAAGCATCAACCAATCAAATTGCCTAAGCAGAAAATGCTCATATTCGAACTCCATCAAGGCACTGACTTAATAAACACCTACACCAAACATTATATCTCAATTAGAAGGAGAGTTATTGTGTCACAAAAAATGTGACGACGAACCCATTTCAATAGTCCCCTGCTTTCTTCGAAAGGCGGGGGACAACAATTTAGTAATTTGTATTGTTATGCTAGGATACTTTAAATTTTTTACATAATTTGTATTAATAATAACTCATAAGATAAATCTTACTTTATTAATAATATTACCAACAGATCAGTTCCCATTAGATGTTTTATTTCTAACTATAGTTCTAGAAATGGTGGGAGAATGCCACATGATTGCCACTGTTGACAGACAGGTCAAGCAGCTATTGCATTGATGTATCATTCATTACCGCATGAATCATTCTGACGTCTATTATTGTAACCGTGTGCCGGTCAATGATTGCTATGAATCAAGATCGCCCCCACTAGTCAGAACCTGCAGTGGCCGTGCAGTTCGTAGGCCGTCTCAGTTCAACGATCAGTGAACTTATGTCATCATAATTAACCAACGATAAGTGCGCTTAGTGCTTCAGTAAGACAATAAGTGATTGTGTAATAAATGAACAGCTGATTTTCAACGGAAGCCATTTTTTCTAAGTGTTTTTCTAAAGGCAAACATTATACTTTCACTGCACGGTGAATTCAACTTATATAAATATTTCGTATGGCATCATATTGTAAGCTGAAAAGAAAGAATAAACATTGTACTAAGTACTGGTTCACATGTGCTGATCGGGAAATGATTTCCAATACAAACTGATGTGATTTTTGTTGATAAAGACGCTGTTCATATTTTTTTGTCACGTCCAAATTTCTCAAATAATAGAAAACATTCATTTTCGTTCTTATATATTTTCAAAGAACTATCGTAAATATCAATAGTGTATAAATGTTTAAATTGTTTATTTAGATGTACATCTATTCACTTTCAGATTGAAACCCCCGCTGTACCTGTACGCTTATACCCCTGTCTACACCTGTAAGGTATACTCTGCACCTGTAGAACTTACAAGTAAAACCTGCCTGCAACTCCTGTCATGCATGCTACTATTACTGTTGTATTTTGAAATTGGTTATTAACGTATTACATGTGTGAACCAGACTACCAACTATGTTTTCATCATTAAAGTTTGTTGAAACTACGTATCTGTGGATCGCCATTTTGAGGGTTAATGGGATCAGTTTGGTTATACAAGGATTAAGTTTGCGGTTACAAGTTACAGTCTTTGTCGCCAACCGAATCATTTACAGCCGAGAATATTAGTTTCTGTTGGAAACTATTTTACAGAAAATCACTTGTTTTTGGGTCTACTGCGCAGAAACCTTGCCTAATTACTGTCAGTAGATTTAATTATATACATACAGGTGCCAATCACTTTAGGGAATTATATCGTTATCAACACTTAAAATATGATAATCTTGACTTTATTATATAATAATACAGCAAATATATAAGTGCATAATAGATGGTGTGTATGTTTGATTGCATAGGGTAGCGTGACCCAATTATTACTACAAAAACACAGCGTTCGTGTTTGATTCTGCAGTAAAATAGTACCATGCGTTTCCCAACTAACAATGACAAAAATCTACATAGATTGTCATGCTATTCGCGATATTTTAATGTGTAATAGATTTATATCCATGACTATTGGTAATTGTATATCAGCCGATATATTTCACTACAAATATGGTATCGTTAATTATGGGTTTTTTAGCGTTGGTTACTATTCATACCGTTTAATTTCAAAACCCTGTTCGATAATTGATAAAAATCGTTGAAGAATAACAACCAGCATCTGCCAGGCAGGATACACCCACATTTTCGACAGATGAATAGAGAACAAGCTAAAATGAAAGTGATTTTTCCTACAATCAAAGGCCATATTTCAGGAAATTACAATTCGATATGTGCAAATATCAAAAGGAACCAAGATCTTTGGGTTATAAACTTACATTTCAAGTTTCAACAAAATCAGATAAAAATTGTGACCTCTATAGGGTCCACAACCTTGATATACCATATTTTTACGCTATTTGAGAAAAAGGGGCGGCTATTTTGCCTGTTAGTTTTGGGCCGATTTACACAGAATTCAA